CAAGGAGGACAACAGGTCATAAAGTGCGCTTTTGCTGCCTCCAGAGAATGGAGTGGAAAGGCTATTGTGCAAAACACCTGATAGCTCTGCACGACAGGGCAGGAGAAAACTTTCCCAGAATGCTGGATGTTTCTCTGAAGGGGACATGTCTGAAACTCTGGACAAGGGAAGAAATAGGTGTAATATTATTCACAGGGGTAAAGTTAAATCCACACCCTAGAAATGGCCCTCCCCTTCTTCCCACACTGCAGTCTCCCCTACTAGTCTGCAATAATCTGTGACGACTGACTACACCACTAACTGTTAATCAGCTCTCTTGCGGGTATGGTTCTGGGTCCCCAGACAAGAGGCAAGAAACAGTGTGACTTAGAATCCTTCACCTGGAGGAGCTAAAAGCACATCCCCTGATAGTGTTTTACAAGCAAAAACACTATACTAAGTACACTAAAAACACTTTACTTAGTATATCTTCATAGACTAAGAACACAGTTTACTGAGACAAAAAGTGAGCACTAAAATTAGAAAGGCCTTCACCTCAACCATCGCGTGACATGAAGTAGTCAGACGTGCAATTTACAGCTCGGTCCCATTTTGATTCTTTCCACACAAACGCTAACCTTTGGCATCTCCCAAAGAGAGTCAGTATTAGGGGGAAAAATATTTTTCAGCATTTTTAAAAATCCCATTGTGCTACACAAAATCCCACCAATATTAACAAGAGGTTTGACAACGTTTTAGCCAAATTTAATGTAAGAACATAAACCATCTAATCTATTTGTTAGTTTTTGATTTGACTTTTAATTTATGAATTAACTTTATGGGTGAATTCACTAAATAAACATTATTTAACACTCTAAGAAGAAGGTGCTTACTCAACTTGGAAAGTTGTATCTATCATTTGCAAATATTCGGCCTTCGGGAACTAGGTACCACATACAGCAAACCTGTTAGTTTACTCAGTGTTTGAATTCTATTGATGGTAGATTGTGATCTTCAGTCAACAAAATGCTTGTCAAATAGGGTTACACCCTGTTTGAATAGGTACCTTTTGAATGCTGTTAAAGATTTTTTTACCCATGTGATAACAATCACAGTTGGTTAAAACAAACTCTAAAATAAAGTATTTTATGTTTTTACCAACTTTAAAAGGCAAAAAAATATACATTTTAGATTTTTTAATTACAAGAATTCTAAAAGAGCTATGTTTTAAAAGGAAAATTTTTATTTATTTTTATTTTTAATTGTATTTTATTGTTTATGCTATTACAGTTGTCTCAGTTTTTATACCTTCGTCTTCCTCCACCCATCTCTGCTCCCCTCCCTCAGGCAATCCCTTCATTGTCTGTGGCTGTGGGTTATGCATATATGTTCTCTAGCCAATCCCTTCACCTTCTTTTGTAAAAGGAAAATTTTTAATTGATATTATTCAATCAGCAGTGTTATAAATTTTCAGATATTTATATTTTGATAACTAAAAGTGGAAACTAAGTACTGTAAATAAATATCATATTTGAATATTCTGCTGTAAAATACACTATATGAATAAGAGCCTTTTCAAATACCATATAAACTGGACTTAATATAAATATCACCCTATTGAAGTTAAAGTTAAATGAATATTTATGCTATTAGGAGGATATTCTTAACTTAAATACTTTGATTTCAATAGAAAGTAAACAAATAATATTTCAAGTAATCAAAGAAATTCATAATTCTTTTTAAAGGTTAGGTGATATAGTATTGCTTAATAAATGCAACCAAACTATTTAAAAGAACCTTTTTGCAGAAAATCACTGAGTACTTTAAGTTATATCAACACACAAATTACAAGTTGCCATGTCTGTTATGAAAACCACTCCTATATACAACTTAAGACATAATATACAATCTTACTCATTTCTGAAATACTTAACCTCTTTCATGGAGTAATCTAAAAGTCAGTCAAATCAAAGAAAACCTATGAGACATCTGAGTCTGCTCTTCTGTTTCTATTACTAATATAAATCTTTTATGTGAGAACCTATTTTTAGATGAAAAAGGGAGGAAGGAGACACAAAATCTATTAATAATTTCTTTGTTGGCCAATGTATTCTTCCAAAAAAACAGGAGGACATGAGTCCTCATATCAAGCTTCTAAGATTTAGTAATGTTTAAGAATTTATGTTTTCATTTTTAGTTAGGTATGTTTCATTTTAAAAGGCAAATTATTTAAGAAGACTATTTTCTCTATGTGTGTAAGCTAAGGGGAGGAAATGACCAAGCAACAAACATGAACATCACCCACACTTAAGAGCTCTGCATTAGGATGGTAGTGTTAGAGCCAGAGGAAGTCAGGATTATCACAGCTGTTGATTTTATTTACTGTGGAGCCAGGATCCAGCACTCCAGCACAAACATAAATACAAAATTAATATTCCTTTTTTCTCTATTCCTTTTTACTTCTATATTGACATTAACTGAACCCCTATAGTTCAGACCCATCTTGCATGAACTTTTTCTACGTGCAAACTTTACATGGAGAGATTGAAGTTATAATGAATGATACACTGTGAACCAAATAAAGAATAGAGTACAGTAAGAGCAACCAATTTGTGGGGGAAAAGTTAACTGGTCAATTTGATACACACTAAAGTCATTATTCTGAATTCAATACTTAACAATGACTTCCTAGGTTTTAAGTACATTTGTAAAAATTTTATCAACATAAGTATTTTTTAATTTATAAATACCAACATGACACAATTATTCTTTTAGAAATTTTACATTAAATTATATGCTTTTCTTAAAGCCTATTCAATGAATTACTATTCAAAGCCATAAAAATAAAAGATTTTATATTGTTTTTCTTCATAGTTTTATTCTATAATTTAGCACATGGTATGATAATATGAATGTCCTATTCCAAAAATCTAAGTACCAAATGTTGAGGTCCAGGAAGTGTTGAGTCAGGTGGCCTTTCCAAATTAAGTTATATAAAGAACCACTATCAAATACAAAGGTTATAAAACAAAGTGCTTTTAAATGCCTTTTAATATGTTCCAAAACAGCACCATGATTTCTGCATAACTTTTGAGTTTAGGGGTTTCTGAGACAACAAAAAAATTTCAAATGGAATTTTAGTTCCTTTAATATGAAGACACTAGATTTTTTTTTAATTTTCATAGAAATACACTGTATCTTTGAACAAAGTCACATATATTATATTGTGACTTAATTTAGATAATATTGACCAGATTTATTTCTACTTAAAAGAGTATTTATATATGTCAACAAACAATGCATCTCTCAGTGAATCAAAATCTAGTAAAAAGTAGAAATAAAAAAGAGAGAGAAAGAAAAGAAAAAAAGGAAGGAAGAAAGGGTGAAAAAGGAGGATCAGTAATATTTTTAAATGGTATTCAAGAGGCAGAAAAAGAAAAAATACTAAAACATCCAAATGATAACATTTCAGTAGAGATAAATCCTGGAATAAATATTTCTTGGATTCAATTACTTAAGCATTAACATATAAAAATTATGCAAATAAACAGACAAAAAAAGCCTGCATTACAATTATTACTTACACACACACTCTCTTTCTCTCTTTCTCTTTCTCTCTCTCTCTCCCCCCCTCCCTCGCCCCCTCACATTCATGCATATCTATACTGAAACCAGTCTGGGAAGTATTAAAAACACAACCTATCCACTTAGTACAGTTCTTAAAACAAACATATTTCAAAAAAATTAAATAAATAAAAATTCATAATTATATCAAATTGTACATTTTGAAACTGCCTAACACTCAAACAAATTTGTGTATGGGATCAGAGTCAAGGAAAGTCACATTTATTTCATCTTCAGGTTATACATATTTTATCTCACATGTACCAAATATATTAGAAGTATGCAGACCCCAAATTTAAACTCCCTCACACTGCAAGTCAGACTGATGCCTCAAAGGTCCTTTCAACTGGGCAGATGCCAGTGAAAATTCATCACACGTTAAAGTGCAGCCTTATGGTTAAACTTGAAGTTTTCTGATGTCACAATACTTGTGGCACTCTACAACAAGTTTTTTTTTCCCCTTCTGCCCAGACTTAGCAGAGCAAGAACAAGCAGGCTTTTGAATCAGTGCTGCACTTGAAGTATTTGCTTGCTTGGGAGATTTATACCGACTGTAGTTTGGCTCTCTTATGATGTAATTCCTGGGCTATAAGCTTCTACAAACTGACAGAAATAACAGGAGATGTGAAAAATTTAACAATACTAAAAACAGATGTTGGCGTAAAATTCTAGTACCATTTACTTGCCCATTTTGCCTTTTAATGTATAATTTGAATGCTGAAAACAAAGTTTTTTTTTTAACTCTTAAAATACATAGAACCATGAAACATTCAGAAGACATGAAGCAGGAAATTTATGGGATGGGGACTTAAGAGACATGGGTTGTAAATGGAAGCTGAGAGAAAGGTGTGTTGATAGGAAAAAAAATTCAACTAAATCTACACTATCTTTTTCAGTAATCCTATATCTTTTTTCTTACCTTTATTTTCTTTAATCTAGTCTGGTAATAACTCCAAACAGACAAGTTAAAGGTCAAAGTTACTATGATTTCTGGATAAGCAAGTAACTCAGAGGAAGAACAATTCATTGTTCTTAGGCACAATTGCTTTTGTGTCCAAGAATGTGGTGAATTTTTCCCCTTAATCATTACCAAGAAATATCTCACCCAAACTGCCTCACTCTGGAGAAATAAAATGCCTAAATTCAGAAATCAAAGGGAACAGTAGTTATTAGTTCTTTTCTTAAAGAGTCATGAGTTTATTATAAATAACTCCTAAACTTCTTTCATCAAAAGATTCACTTAAATTTTTAATTTTGAATTTTTTGGTTCCTGTGTAATAATGATCCAAGATCTCTCACAAGGCAATATGACCTGTTATTCTACCACAAATACCTGCTTTAATAATCAAAAATAAACACCAAGATGAGGCACTCTGCATTCTTATTAACAAACTTACATGATTTCCTGTTGGAAAGTTTCAGAGGCTGAACTGTTATTTCTGGTCGTCTCAGAGCCAGTCTCCTGGGGGAAAAGGTCAATATGCCTATCAATTTTCAGTGCAGACCCAAGATTAATATAAAACCAAAATATTAAAAGTCTTGAGAAAAAGCTGGAAAGTTATTCAAATTAAGAAATAAATTCTCTACTTCAAAATTTTTCTGAATTCTCTCTACCCAAAAATCACTCTTCCTTTTTGCCATCTTTCACATCAATACAGTTTTAGATACTAATGTGTTGTTTTCAACTTGTTTCATAACAAAAACAGCATAAGACCTGGTACTGTCGTATTATTTTTGGTTATTATTCCCAGTTGAAAACAGAAATCCAAACCTGAGAGATAAAGGATGCTAAGGCAAGGTTTGGGTGCTCATTTTATCGCCACTAGGCTGGAGTGGTATTTTGCAGAGAACAAAAGGTCAGCTGCAGAAAGGCCATCGTTCTGTGCCAAGAGCTCACCTTTCCTGGAAGTGCTTTGAAGGAATCAAGCCTGCCCTGGGATTGGCGTCACCTTCATGCTTCGCCTGCCACCAGGTTGCATCATCTTGGCTCATAATCTGGAGAATGTCTCCCTTTTTGAAAGAAAGCCCAGCTTCCTTACAGGGAATTGCTTTATCCTCATTAGGGTCATAGTCAAAGAGGGCTTTGATAAACATCTAGAGAAAAATTTTATTTAAAATGAATAAGTGTCAAATATATAAAATGGCCAAGGTTCTTCTAACTTTGATTTAAGAACAACTTTTTAAAAGTGGAATATTAAAATGAACCTGCCATGACAAAGAGGATAGATATTAGATGAAAAAACACTAGTCCCCAACTGCCCCCCAGCACCAGCAAAATAAAATTTTAAGGTAATGATTACCTTGCCTTCTTTAGATGGTGTCTCCTCTTTGATACTGGGTATGATCTTAAATGTAATTGCTCCCTGAGACTGAGCCTGATCTCAGAGGAAAGAAAGAGTTATAAGAAAACTTGTACAGCCAAGGAGAGAGAAGATAAAACAGGTAGAAAACTAAATGCATCAGGAAATTTACAAGCTTGGGGTTTCTACTCTTAAGATAGATCAAACTGAGAAAACTATTTTTTAGAAATTCCTGTAACATGAGAAAGTACTGAAGTTTGTCAAATAAGTTAAAAAACATCAACCACTAAATCCACTTTTACCTCCTGTGCACTTTTAAAATGCCGATGAATATATTACCATCCATGTCGAGTTACTTACGCACAGTGCCTTAAACAGACAATAGTAAATGTGAAGAACAGATAAGGTGCAACATTGAAGTATCAGCAGTTATGTTTTTAGAAACTAAAATAGCTATACTGTCAGTAATGCAGTTATAACTATATAATTCAATTAGTTGCAGTGCTCCTCAGAAAAACAAGAACATTCATCTCTATTATATTCTGTTAGTGAATAAAATACCAAATATAATAGATTAACTAAAAGGTGAAAAGATTGAATATTGATTCAAATTTAATTAAAACAAGCAATAATACCCACAAGTCTTTGCTGACTCTCAGACAAGAGCAGGTCTCCCTTTAATGTCATTCTCTCTCTCTCCCTTTACAGCATTTATCATAATCATATCTAAATAATTATTTACACAATTATGTCTTAATATCTATTATCTTCTAACTGTAAACTCCATAAAAGTGGTAACTATCTGGCACATATCTAAGAGGCATGAGGAAGGGAAGAAAAGAGGAAAGCAAGGAGACCAGCAGATAGGGAAGGAAGGAGGCAGGGAAGGAGAGAGAAAGGGGAGCATGGTTAGATCCCTCTGAGGCTCACTATTAATATATGCTGGTACACCAGGACTCTGTTGTATAAAAAAAGCCTTGATTTGTTTTGTTTGCCAATTTTCATGGTATAGATACTCCCACCATAGCCAATTTCAGTGTATAGGGTGAAGCCACTGAAAGCCACACTGGGGAGAGTTGCATAGAATCAGTTCTTGTAAACCAGAGGAGGAACTCCAGCACAGCACAGAGGCTCAAGGAAAGTGGGGTTTTAACTGTATAAATATTAGAATTTTATAAAAGAGTTACTTCAAAATGGTGATATTGTTATTCTGCTTATCATAAAAGTAATTCACAAATCTTTTTTCATCCTCACTCAAGGATATGTTTTTATTGCTTCTAGACAGGAACGGAGAAAAAGAAACGTCAATTGGTTCCCTCCCATATGCACCCCAACCTGGGACTGAACTTTAAAACTAAGTATGTGCCCTGAGTAGGAATTGAACCCGCAACGTTTTTGGTGCACAGAAGGATGCTCCAATCAACTGAGCCACCCAACCAGGGCATAATTCAAAAATCTTATTAAGAATTCATACAATACTGAGTTGCATAGATAGAGAAAAAGTACAAGTCTTCTCTATAATTCCTCCCCATTCTTCTAGTGTGTGTGTGTGTGTGTGTGTGTGTGTGTGTGTGTGTGTGTGTTAATGTATGTAAAGCCCTTAGAATGCCACTTAGGGTTCAATCAATATAAGCAATTACTATACCACCACTATTAAGTCATATAGGTCTATCAGCCATTCTGACTGCTTCAAAGTAATCTATAATATAGATGAATGATTGATTACTCAACTAATGTAATCGTCACAGTTTCTAAATATTTTGAAATATTTATGAAATGTAAACATTTGAAATGTTTATGTACATTTACATTAGTTCTTTAGGGTTAATTTCCAACAACTGCATTTCTTGAATAAAGGCTATGCAAATTTTAAAATTTGATAGTTTTGGATAGCCATCTGAAAGGGTCCTATTAATTTATCCTACTACTAAAAGCAAATAAACATATCCATTTCCCTATAACCTGGAGAACTCTAGGGATTATCAAGCTTTTAAGTCCCCCACGAATCCAGTATTTTTCAGGCATCATGTTTCCTTTTGTAAATTATCTGTGTACATGCTTTGCCAATTTTACTGTATACATTTTTTCTTATTTTTATGCATTCTCCATATATTAAAGTATTAGCTTTATCATATATATTGAAAATTTTCTCCTACCATCTCATGTTTCTTTTAAAATTTTCATATATCTTTTTCTATACAGAAATTTTTCTATAATCACATTATTATGTGATTCTATAATCACATCATTTTTTCCTAGTTGAATTTTCCATCACTCAAGTCTTTCTCTACTTTTTGCGATTTTTTAAACTTAATTATTTAATTTCTTGAGATTTACTTATTTATTTTTAATTTTCTAAAAATTGATTTTAGAGAGAGAGGAAGGGAGGAAGAGAGGAAGAGAAACATCAACTTGTTGTTTCACTTACTTAAGCATTCATCAGTTGCTTCTTGTATGTGCCCTATTGCAGAACAAACCCACAACCCTGGCACACTGAGACAACACTCTAACCAACTGAGGTACCTGGCCAAGGCTGGGGTTTTTTTTGTGTGTGTGGTATAAAATAGGGACTAACTTTATTTTTTCTAACTGAATCATCAATTAATCCAGTACCATTTACAAAATTTCATTGTTTTCCCACTAATATAAAATGCCAACATAATCATATATTAAATGTGCATACATACTGAGGTCTGTTTTGGAATACTAAACTTTCTTTTTATTTCAGTAGATTTCTAATATATTCTCATGTGTAACACGGACAGTTTCCCTTTACTTTATCCTTAGGAATGAACTTGAGATTAATATTGTCAAAGCCTAATATAATTTAATTCTGTTTTAGATTTCATAAGACATCTAAATTAGTTTTACTAGTTTGTATACTTAGAAAGCATAGCGTATAGTCTGGCTATGTTGATGAGAGAAACAGAAAGCTAAATGTATCACCAAAAACAGAGTAGTTAGCATCTATGAAGTACCTATTTGGGCCAGGCCCTGTAATAAATTCTTTAGCTTGTTTAATCCTTATTCTAATTTTGGAAATTAAAACACTTAAGTAATAAAAACTAAGGTATTTTCCAAAGGTGCATAAGGATTACATGATAGAAATGGGATTCAAACCTTAGACAGCCAAATCCAAATCCCGTAGTCATAACCAAGTGGGAAATATAGTGATTCAATTTTGTTTTCATTGCAAATTAAAAATAAAATATCAGCTTACCAAAATCTGAATTATTTCCTCAGGCTTTTTATCTTCCACTGGTATCCCATTCACTTCCCTAAGTTCATCACCAACATGAATCAAACCTAAGTAACAACAAATTCAGTAAATCAGCAGTGATACCTACAAAAGAAACTGCAATTTGCAATTGTGTCCACACTTAAAGCATTGCTTCCCTTAAAATATCTGAGGACTGTAAAGACCTTCATGCTTCTCCAGTTTCAGATTCCATGTCTCTACATATCAATGAATCAAAGACTACAACATCATAATGCTGGCAAGGAAATGACAATAGCATCTTGCTCTGTGTCTAGAAATGTATATTGTCTTCATCTTATAAAACAATTATTACTTTTTTTGAAAGGTGCATGCTTTTAGTAGTACCTTTCAAGTCAGAAACACTGAACCGAGTCTTAGGGTAACCTTGGAAGCCCATGTAGACTAAGAGAGTAGAGAGAGATTTATTTCTCATTTATTAAAATAGGTTCCCATATATCAACACAAAGAAAAATCTCCTATTTCTTGTTTTGCTGTATTATAACAAAAGATTATTATACTGTTAGTTATATATTGAAAATATTACACATAAAATGCAATATTATTTGTCTATATTCAATTAACATTTAAACTCTTACCGCTTCTGTCTGCAGCCCCTCCTCTCATGATTCTAGCCACCACAATGGCCCCAGTCTGCTCATCTTTCTTAATGGTGGCTCCCTTTTAAGAAAACCAAAAATGTTTGTAGGTAAATGTGTGTATTGGGTGGTACAACGAGGAAGAAAGACATAAGGAGATTTATTAGGAAAAAGTGAAAACAACAACTACATAAAAATAAAAGGAATGAGGCTGGAGAAAGACATCATACCCATGTGCCTTACAAATGCTCACGACTATATACAGAATTTTCTACCATACATATCATCTAAGGTTTTCAGCAAAATTGAAAAATCTTCTTCAACACTACAGAAAGTATGAGTATTTTCTTTCCATTATAATACCTTGTATTTAAATACTATTTATTTTTACTCTATTAAAGCATTTCCTCATTTCATTTCATTTTTAAAATACTCCACAAATCCCTGACCAGATTATTCAAGTTAGTTGGAGCATCACCTCGTACACTAAAAAGGCTGCAGGTTTAATCCCCAAGTAGGGCACATACCTTGGTTGCTGGTTCGATTCCCAGTTGGGGCACATATAGGAAGCAACAGATCAATGTTTCTCTCATATCAATGTCTCTCTCTCTCTCTGTGCCTCTCTCTTTCCTTCCCTTCCACTCCCTCCCTCTCTAAAATCAATAAAAATGTATCCTCAAGTGAGGATTTTAAAAATACCTCAAAAAGAAGGTAGACTATATAGAGGGAAGACAAAGTGACTAGAAAAAGATTACATAAACTATAAAACTCAGGTCATCTCACTTTTAGTTCAGTGGTCGTTCTATTCCACTATTCCAGTAGATGAACTCAGTGATAATAATAAATAAAACAATTAAAACTCCAAAGTTCATTTTTCTTACTCAAGGCTAACATAAACGAATGGAAGAAAGAACTTTTAGTCCAGAGTTTTTATGTACTAGGATTGTTCCTAGTACAAACAGAGCTAACATTTTGGCATAAGAATAGGAAACAATTTCAAAAAGAATCCAGAAATTCTTCATTTATGGATGTCAGAAGCAGATCAACTGAATGTGGCTTTGTAAGAACATCAGGCACAAATGGTTACTTTGAACACCTTTTCCTGACTTTCTCTTCCAAGAAACTGGCACCGGTTCAGAAGAGCCATTCTGCATTGCATCACAGGGCTAACGGTGCACATTAGGTGGTGACAGAAATCACCTTGAAAAAGAAAGTGGAATTTTTCTCAAGTGTGTCAATAAACGCATTTATATTACTAAAAAAAAAAGGTATGTAAACAAAATTAAAAATCCATCTGTAATAAGTGTATTTTCTAAATGATAGCTACCATAGACACATCTCCTAATGGCAAAAATCAAATAATAGAGTGATAGAATGATTTTGTGACTTTTTTCATCACCTATACATGCATTCAAGCCAAAGACTTAAATAAGCATCTCTCCACGGTCATAAAACTTAGACTTGCCAATAATTGGTAATACTCTTAATATAATTAGATTGGTCAGATCAACTTTCATTTCTTTTAACAAATGTATCTCAAACTTTTCCACCAAAGTAAGCCTAAGAGTCTACTAATCTAATTTAATACTATGTATCCATACTTTACAGATGAGAAATAGAATCTCAAATGGTTACAATTTGTCCAAAAATAGACAACCAGTGTGCAGTAAAGTCAGGACTTGTGTTAAGGCAAACTAATCAGAATTGCTATTCTTGATCTTAATTACCATTCATTCCATCCACTCTGGGGCAACCTACTACAGTATTTGTACCACACCAGGTCCTAACCCTACTGGAATAAAAAGGAGGGTACTGGCTGACAGCAGGGTATGTGCGAAAACATCAGGCAATTTAATTAGACAACCCAAATGTTACCTTACAAACCACCACTACCTTAAACTGGCCACCATATTCCCAGACTTGGAGAGAAGCTCAGACCTGCAACATGATTGCTTAGAAATTATTGACAAAGTTTATTCCAGCAGATCATACCTATTGGACTAGCTGCTAACAGAACCTGACTGGGAATTATACACAGATGGGAGCAGCTTCATAGAAAATGGTCAACAATGAGGTACACAGTAGTCACCATAGACAAGGTAACTGAAGCCCAGGCCCTTGCCACAGGCACCTTGGTACAAAGTGCTAAACCCTCATCAGAGCCTTAGAATTATCCCAGGGAAGGAATGTTAACCTCTACACTGACTCTAAATCTGTCTTCATGGTAGTCCATGCCCGTGGGGCAATATGGAAACAAAGAGGGTTCTCAATGTCAGGGAATATGGATATCAAACACGAAACTTGGGGAATAAGGATATCAAATACACAAAAGATAATTTTGAAATTTCTACAGGTAGTGAATCTACTGAACCAAGTTGCCATAATGCAGTGCCCAGGACACCAGAAGGATGGTTCCCAAACAAGCCAGGGAAACCAAACTGTCGGTAAAGCAGTAAGCCAAGCTGCCAAGTGCTGCCACTTCTTGGGCCTTAATTCCCCACCTTAATTTAAAATTCCTTTCAAAAAGGGACAGTATCTCCTAAAGCTAATTGACAGTGTTTATTTTAGTTTATTATTACTTTTGACAACTACTATACTTTATGCCCATGCTAGCACTTATAACACCTTTGTCCACGTTTCCCAGACAGTGGCTTCCTCAGCAAACGTACCCCACTGTTGGGTGTGCCACCCAAAGCCCCACTCGGGGTTAGATCATGGAGATCCTTAGTCTCTCCAGTTTCTGATTTCACTACAAACCCTCTGCACTGCTAGGCATAGCCTTCACTAAATATCTGACTGCTTATCTACATACTAGGTCTCACTTTGGAAGCTCATATGCAACACTGTCTCTTGAAATATGCAGCCATCTACTAGCTTCGCTTATTCAGCGGTGCCATCCTCTAGACACTGTGTATGCTGCCTTCCAAAGACAGCAATCCTTCTCCCTCACATAGAGGCTTCACTCCATTTTTGACCCCCTTCTTCCTTCTTAATGGAAGGAAGTAGATAGTAGACAGAAGTAGATAGCAAGAATCTCTGGACCTGGGGATAGGTAAAACTATGTCCCTTCACAGCAGAAGGTAACTACAGAAGATGCAACCTCCATCCATTTATCCTTGTAAGATTACAAGAATCCAGAGTTTTCAAGGGGAGAATTATTACCATACACAGTGAGGGAGCACCAGGGAGTCTCCCTCATTGGTCAAGATGGCGCAGGGGGAGGTTTTACACTGGGCGTGCCAAAAGCTAGAACAGTGAATGGACAGGGCCTGAGCACACCCAAAGCTAGAAAGATGAGTAAACAGGACCCAAGCATGTGAAAGGCTGACCAGATAACTGGATAGAAAAAAAGCTTTCTCCTCCCTGTCCCTATAAGAATTACAGGCTTGAGCAGGAAGAGGGAATAGTCTTTGAGATGAGGAGTTGACAATTCCCCCAAGTTGTTAACTTTTGCATCAGCAACTGTATCACAAGTCTGGTTTTCACTGTGGCAGGAGGCCAAACCTGCATTTTGATTAGTTTTTGGTGATCCAGTTACCCAAAATCTTTCTATAACATTTTGTTCATAATTTCATAAGTTCAGTACCCTTGTGGGATCTTGTCTCCAAGATGTAGGTCATCAATCCCTTCCCTGCTTATATATGCATGTGGTACCCCCACATCAAATAGTGAAAATGACTATGAGGCATCTAAAGCTACAAGAAGACTTGCAGCTGCCATCTGGGCCTGTTGAAACACCTGCTCTATGGGAAGTCAGCCACTACATAAAAATCATGACTACTGTTGTGCTTTCAGGAAGCCCAAGCCAGACTAGCCTGCAACTTCCCAACCATTCTACACAGGCATCAGTCACGGGAATGAAGGAGCCCTCAGATGATCCCAGTCTCAGCCACCATCTAACAGTACACACTCAGCTGAGCTGGCCAACCTCCAAAACTGTGATAGGCAATAATAAATGATTGTTTTAGCAATAAAACTTGGGCATGGTTTGTGACAAGAACTATGACTATGGCAAATCTTTCTCCACTATGAGTTATACTGGTTTTCAACAAAGGACCATCAAATTTATTATACCTAGTGGGAATCATCCTTTTGACTTATTCTGTGATTCAATGAAGCTGACAAATGTTTATTGAGACCCTACTATGTGCCAGGCTCTGTTCTAAGGGCTTATAATGCAATGGTGGAGAAAAAAACCACAAAGATTTCTGTCCTCTCATGGAAATTACATTCTACCAGAAGAAAAGAGGAATAAACAGAACATGAAATAATTACTGCATCTAAATATAAATAAATAAATGAATTAAAAAATTAAAATAAATTTTTTTCCTGAAAGTTTGGGCCAAAAACATGGGTACTCATTATACATTATATATTACAAAACACAGCATATTATAAAGTATGTTAGAGAGTGGTAAACACTATGGAAATGGGTGGGTTAGGGCAGGGTAAGAAAGATCGGGAGTGCTAGAGTAAATAAATAGAGGGCGGACAATTAAAAGACACAGACCTCACTGAGAAAATGACATTTGAATAAGGACTGGAAGAAGCCCTGACTGGTGTGGTTCAGTGGATTGGGTGTCATCCCACAAAACAAAAGGCTGCCAGTTAGATTCTCTGTCTGGCACATGCCTGGGTTCCAGGCCAGAACCCTGGGTTGGGGCAAGTGTGCAAGAGGCATCCAGCCAGGGCTCAATTCAACCTATTTTAAAAGAAATTTCCCCAACTCCATTTCCTAATGTCTAACCTCTTCTTAGCACCTGCATAGCCCCATAGGCTCAGTATAACCGTAAGGAAATTAGTCCTTTATATCCCCATTCATTTCCTTTTATTCTTGCTAATTGAATGTACAGTACTTCTAGCTACATAAGTGAAGTAAGCCAGTTGGTGAAAGACAAATACTATATGATCTCACTTATAAGAGGAATCTAACATACAAAATAAACTAATGAACAAAATAGAACCACCAGCATGGAAAAATGGAACAGACTGAAAGTGACCAGAGAGGAGAGAGAAGGGGGATAATGGTGGAAAAAAGGGAAAGGGACTAGTCAAAAAACATGTATGAATGACCCATGGACA